CTGCAGGCAGGCCAAGGTGCCCTGAGCCACAGGCACGAAGACCTTGCTGGCTTAACCCTTTGATAGGGACTGCAGAAGCGAAACGCTCCAGAAAGAGGTGTGGGTACCCAAGGTGATCTCTGCCTCTGGAGCAAAGGGAACAGTGGCCAGGGGCCCTTGATTTCCCTGGCACTGAGGTAGCTCATGCCGTGGCACATCGCTTTGTCATGACCCGTTGATCCATAACTTAACAAGAGTTTTGTGAGGTGTCCCTGAAATATGATGGCAAGGGCTCTGGATGGAACCTTGCAGGAATAGCAAAAGACTCTGAAGGTCCCCAAATGGGGGTACATGCTATCATCTCCAGGGCCCAGCAGACCAGTGGGGTCCTGATATAGGGTGTGAAGCACACACACTCTCAATGCCATTGCTGCTGTCCCAGCTTGAGCCCTGTCCTCTGGCTGCGTTTTGGGGCCACACTGTTCAGGAAATAAGCCAGGTGTCTTTACTCCTGAGTCCGTACGCAGTGCAGCGATGCGCTCATGTGTGAGGGCTCACGGCAGCTGAGAAGAGGGGTTGGGGGGAAACCACTCACATGTCCTATTTTGGACTCCCTGCTCATGGGGCCTGTCCATGACACTTGTGTAAGTGACAGGAGGGCAAGGTATGACTCTAGCACATTCTGACTGACTCTCAAAAGGGGAGCAGGTACACCCATGGTCACAGACAACTGGATTTCACCAAACATTTAAAGGGGAAACTGGTATGTTATGGAGGAAAAAAATTAGCAGAGACACAATTCTTTTGCCAGGGTTCAAACAATCGCATCTGGGAGACCCCTCCTGTGACACCTAAGACTTTGGAGGTGATGGGGTAGATTTAGGCTCAGCTTGCCTAATGTATGTCCGTCCCCTCCAGCTCTGTGGTCAGGGAAGGCCTTTCACTGGACCAGTCTGCAAAAGGAGAAGTTTCTACCCTGCTGGGAGCTAAATGAACCAGGCTGTAAGCAGCATCCTGTTAAGAGTGAATACGGAATCCCTCCCGAGTGGCAGTGTCCCCAGACAAGGTGGTGAGGAGGAGCTGGTTATCAGTGGTCTTGGCATTGAGGAATCACAGGTTCCCATGGACCCCCCGCACTGTGTCACTTGGCCAATACCTGATGGGCTCTGGGCGACAGAGGAGGTGGACGATGAACTGGTTCCTCCCAAGTCACAGTGGCTGGTGCTCCCACTGCCACTGGGGCTCCCATTGGCAGATGGCGACGGCGAGGACAGAGAAGATGAACTGTGCTGGTTTATGCACTGGGCGACGGCGAAGCCTGTAAGACAAGGTGGTGGGTGACGTGAGCGAGCGGGAAGAAACCAGCTGGCCTGGCATGAAGGGTGCCACCTGCCCCACTGGATGTGGGACCCTGTAGGGTGAGCCCCCGCCTCACAGGTGGGGCAGGGTCTTAGTGAAAAGGCCATGCTAACCAACCCACGCTCAGCTCCCTGAAGGTCTGGGTCAGCTCCTCACTAGTAATGGGACTGACCTGGACATATTTTGAAGCTGTTTCAAGAAAAAGGGGGCAGCCAGGCACCAGCCATAGCACTTAGGACAGGGCTGTGGGCCGTAAATCTGAGTGCCTGACGCTGGCTCAGCAACATGCTGGCTATGGCCCTGAAGGGACATGCAGCCAGGGAGCTTCAGAGGCATCTTGGAGAAGTTCACACAGGGACGTGGGGCCTTTGCTAACGTGCCCGGTGCTGCCAAAGGCAGGGCACCAGACTCAAGCTCTGAAGCCACACTGGGTGGGAGGGGAGAACCCTCAAGATGCCCCTGCCAGAGAAACTGCTCTGCCCTGGTGGGTCTGGCAAATTTGGTGTGGGAAATAGAAAGCCCCGACGACAAGCTACCAGTCACAGTCATGCGCCACAAAAGGACGTTTTGGTGAGTGATGGTGGTTCCATAAGAGTGTGAGGAACTGAGAAATTCCTGTCACCCAGCGACACGCAGCCGTCACAGAGCAGGGCGTTCCTTACTCCTGAGTCTGAGGTGACGCTGCTGTGAACTTCCCTACGGTGCTGCCAGTCGTACAAACGACGTACAGTACATAACTGGATGCCGACGACAGACAACTAAGTTACAGGTTTATGTATTTACTATACTTTCTACTGTTGCCGTAGAGGGTGCTCTTTCCACTTAGAAGAAGGTTTGCAGCAGGCGTGCTGGCCTTGCCTCTTGACTGCGTCATCCGCTCGTGCTCGGTTTACTCCGTGCTGTTTCCACCGTAGCTTGCAGCCGAGGGCTACAGGCTATGCCGTACAGCCCAGGTGTTAGCAGCTCATAGGACCAGGTTTGTGTAAGTGCCCCCTACCGTGCTTGTCCGGCGCTGAAACTGCCTGAGGACGCACTTCTCAGAAGAGACTCCCCTGTTAAGATTGTACAGTTTCACACGGCCCTTAGAGCAACTCTGGGTTTGGAGACGGGATGACATATACAACACATTTCTGGGGCCTGGGGCCTTCCCAGCACGGGGAGTGGCTGAGCCCCAAGTCCTGGAGCTTGGGCAAACCCTGCTTCACCACGCAGAAGCCAGGACATGTGACCAGAGTCATTTCCCAACTGCGAGCTGGGGGCGTCTCACCGACTTCTCATCACCCCAGTTCATCAATATCCTGTACAGGGCTTGGCACATGGTAGAGCAGTGCGTTCCTTACGATGGCAGGAGCCCCTCGCCCAGTGGATGCGTGCTTCCTGCAGACCCGGATGTCTGTCCTTTTTATAGCCTGCTTATCTAAAGGGTCACAGCTTCTGATTTTATCAACAAAACTAAATCCACGAAAGCTCCCATGGAACAAATGCCTCATCAGTGACGCCAGGCGCCTGTGCAGACCCTGGGAGCTGTACAGGACCACCACACGGGTGCTCTGTGGACCCCACTGTTTTTCCCCGTGATTCAGAAGCAGCGCCAAATCAGGGAGTGGGAGGTGGGCAAGTCCTCCTTCCAGCTGAGAGGGGGGATTCGATCTTCTTGGCCACTCACGTCAAACCTCTCCACTCCCTGAGTGCACTCACCCCAGCTAGTCCCAGACCTCATTCACATCACCCATACTGTCTGAACCTCACATGGTCTCTCTCCTGCTGACACTTCTTCCAGAAGGTTCTCCAAGCCCTGACCTTGTTTTTCAGAACTCAGGAAGGTCAGCAAAGTATGGCCCAGTGACTGGTAAATAAAGTTTTACTGGCACAGCTATAGTCTTTTGCTTACATATTGTCTGTGGCTGCTTTTGAGCTATATCAGCAGTGCTAAGTAGTTGCCGTAGAAACCATTTAGCCTGAAATATTTTACTCTCTGGCCCTCAATACAGCCTGGTAGAGGATAGAGCAGGGGCTCTGGCACCAGGAAAGCCTGGGTTCTATTCCTGATCGGCTCACTTACCAGCTGTGGGGCCTGGGCAAGTCTGCACTTCCCTGAACCTCTTCCCTTCACTCACCCGTGGGTGGGCACAGGGCCTGGCTGGGGGTGGTGGTGTGTGCAAGGGGACCCGCTGCTCTAAGTCGCCCTTAGGACTCAGTGGGCCCCACACCTGGCCACCACGTAGGGGCTATTTTGTACTAATGTTTGTGTGAAGTTATTTTTGTTTAAGGATCAGCTCCTTTTTAAAAAGCCAAGCCTTTTATCTCTCTAACCAGGACCTCCTGGTTTGGGGCAATGTAATGGCAGACGGATGTGAGGCCCAGTGGGAGCGTGGTGCGTGAATTCACTGAGCCCTCTTTTGTAGAGGATGACACTCCCCGCCCCCACCTACGGGGGGAGGTCTGCTTGCCAGGAGAAGAGCAGAATTACCATGCTGGAGTTCTCAGGAAGAGGCCCTGTGTGATATTCTGAGTGTGTGGCGGTGGGGGGGCCTCAGAGGAACTATGACAAACACAGAGACAGATCCTAACACCAGTCAGGAAGATCCCAGGGGCAATCAGCCACAGCCCCACAGACCAGCTTTACAGCTGTTTACTTCTTAATCACTTCAAGTGGTAAACCCCCAAGTTCACAAGCTGTTTACTTGCTTAGAAAATGAATCGCCCCTCAACAAATCAAAATGTCAAGATGGCTTTTCCTGAGCCACGAGTTTATCAGAGCCTTGAACAGAGGGGCCTGCGAGTGTGGGAACAGAGTTAGGACTAAGCCTCTCACCCTCCTGACAACGCCTCGGCCCGAATGGATGGATGATGATGAATGAAGGTGGTCATTAACCCCTTCACTTGACACATGTCTTCTCTCCCAAGTTCTTTAAAGCCTGGTTTATTACCATAAGATGTCTCGGGCAGGGCCTGGGGGGTAGCAGACAAGATGCTAAAGCTGCAGTTAGACTACTAAAAGTCCCTTCATTTTGGGAATGGATTGGGGTCAAGCCATAGGTTGGCAATAAATACTGCACATCTGTTTATGTGCTGAGGGTTAAATAGAAAAAAAAGTCTCCAACCTCTGAAACCACCCGTTTGCAGGGTCTAGCTGGGCAGAGGTGACTGAACGCATCTCTCCCTCACCTGCTGCTACTAAAAACCCATCTTCCCTTCTTTCCTCACCTTCCTGCTTTCCCCTCCTCTCCCTCATGGCACTGGGAACCCAGAAAGGCTCAATAATGTTTTTTTTTTTCTGGGTGCCCTGACTCCCCTGCAATTTCAGGGGCTCCTTCCCAAATCAAGGTGTCAACCACTTTGAGTCAGTTTGACATCTCAGAAGGTCAGAAAGGCCCTGGAGAGAATTAGGACAAGGCCTGTGACTGCAACACCTGTCCTCCTGTACCTGCTACATCCAGCAAGGCAGCTCCTGCTGACCTGTCTTCAGCGGAGGAGCCCAGGGGCTTTCTGGGCGTGAGTCAAAGACACTCTCTGTGCTTGCACACGCATACAGACAAGCCAGAGGTCATGGAACAAGAGCACAGGCAAATGGGCCTCCCTGAGATCTCAAGCAGATAAAATTCTTGGCTCTCCCAGAGTATGTCTCAAGAACAGCCTGCAAAATGTGTATCAAAGGCCATACAGATTTTCATACCACCTGACTGATTCCACATCTAGAAATCTGTGCTGCAGAAGGGATCCACATAGTGAACTATGTGGATGTGCAACGCACTGGTGTGTGTAAAAGGGAACTGGAGACAACCGAAATGTCCAACAATCAGGAAAAGACCAAATGAATTCTAACACGTCTAGATGATGTAATCCTCGGCTGCCAATAAAAATGCTGCTGTGGAAGTGTAGAGGGGAAAGCATAAGACATAGTAAATGAAAAAGGTTAGTAAATCATGTCCCACATGCTCCCATCGCTGTAAAAAAAATAAAATGTAGGTTCTGCCTCCTTCCTTGTATAGAGTAGGACAGGCTGAAGGGATCCGAGCTGAAGTTGTAGGAGAACCCAGTGGCTTCATTATGGCGAATTTTATTTTTTGTGCTTGCTTGAATTTTCCAAGATTCTTACTACAAATGTTATTTTAAATCAGGAAAGTAAGGAAGGATGAAGGAAGGGTCACAGCTGCCTGGTGGGAGCTGGACACGCTCCAGCTCCCAAACACACCCCTGGGATCTGTGCTGGCTTAAAGTTCTCTCCCCAGACTCACTAAGAACCTCCCAAAGCCGGCCCAGGTGAGATGTTCCAGAAGCAGGCGGACCTGCGTCAATGGCAAAACACCCCCCTTCCCCCCCCCGCTTTCCAGGAGCCCGGGCTTCCCAGGGGTGGGCCAGGTCTTCTTGCTGCCCTTTGGCCCTGTTCTGCCAGTTATTCTGGGAAGATAAACTCACGAGTAAGTCTCTGGCATTTGTCAAGTACAAAAATACAACAAAAAGGTCAGCCTTCTATTTGAGTCCCACTGATAGAGGGAGCACTGGGCTGGAGTCAGAACCCCAAGTTTGAGTCGTAACTCTGCCCAAATGGCTTTGTGATCTTGGACAAGCCCCTTGTCCTCTATTAATGAGGATCTCTTGGCTTAAGTGGTCAACAGTTTTCTTTTTACCTACAAATCTGAATCTGATTTGAACTCTATGAGAAGACACTGGAAAATGCACCTTAAATACAGTTTACACACCCTTTCTCTGTGGATAGCAAACCCATTAAAGCTTTCCCCACGGAGCGCCAGGCTGCGATGTGAGTCTGGATCCTAGCTGGCCAACAGCAGCCCAGGGGCTTGCAGGTCTGATATGCTTGGCTCACATCATGTTTGTGTCAGTACACTGGGAGATTTTACACACAAATCTGAATTTCAGGCTTCATAAGAAACAGAAAGATCTGGGCCCCATTCCCACAAGACAGCAACTGGAGGGAGTGAGAGAGCAGGTTCCTCC